AAATTTAGGGTATCTGATGAAAGAAATTTCTAAGCAACAAAGTATTCAAGAGGTAGCCTGGATGCTTCTAACAGCCTGTGCTAAGATACAGGAGAAAAGAAATGACTTAAAGTTGGAACTTTTCATTAAAAGGGAAGCAGAGCATAAAAGTTTGGAAAATTTACAGCCTAGCTATGTGGTAAAGAAAGAAAAAGCTTTTTCAGTAGAGAAATTCAGGCAGGCTGAATTGCTAGAGAAATTTCTATAACTGAACAGGAGCAAACAGTTAATAACTAAGATGATGGGAAAATACCTTGAAGGCCTTTCAGGGATCTCTCAGGCAGTCTCTCCCTTCACAAGCCTAGGAGGACTAAATGGCTTCACAGGCCAGACCCAGGTCCCCACTACCCTTTGCAGCCTCAGGACACTGCTTCCTGCATCCAGGCTGCTCCAGCTTTAGCCATGGCTCAAAGAGGCGCGTGTATAGGTCAAGCTGCTACTTTGGAGAATGCAAACTCTACGCCTGTACATTTCTATGTGGGATTAAGCCTGAAGGTGCACAGACAGCAAGAGTGCATGAGGCTTGGCAGCCTCTGCCTAGATTTCAGAGGATGTATGAGAAAGCCTGGGTGCCCAGGCAGAAGCATGCTGCAGGGGTGGAGTCCCCACAAATAACTTCTGCCAGGGCAATGCAGAGGGGAAATGTGGGGCTGGAGCCCCCACACAGAGTCCCCAATGGGTCACTGCCTTGTGGAGCTGTGGGAAGTAGGCTGCTGCCCTCCAGACTCCAGAATCGTAGATCCACTGGCAGCTTGCATGCTGTGCATGGAAAAGCTTCTGGCATTTAACAACCTGTGAAAGTAACCATGGGGACTGAATTCTTCAAAGCCACAGGGGCAGAGCTGCCCAAGGCCTTGGGAGCCCACCTCTTACACCAGTGTGTCCTGGATGCAGTATATGGAGTCAAAGGCAATTATTTTGGAGCTTTAAGATTTAATAAGCTTAAATCTTATTGACTGCTCTGCTGGGTTTTGGGCTTCCATTGGGCCTGTAGCCCCTTTCTTTTAGCCAATTTATCCCTTTTGAAATAGGAATGTTTACCCAGTGCCAATCAGCCATTGTATCTTGGAAGTAAATACCTTGTTTTGATATTACAGGCTTATAGGATGAAGGAACTCATTTCGATTTGGGATAAGACTTTGGATTTGGTACTTGAAATGTTTGAGTTAACGCTGGAATGAGTTAAGACTTTGGGGGAGCTATTGAGAAGGGATGATTGCATTTTGAAATATGAGAAAGACTTGAGATTTGGAATGAGACAGGGCAGAATGATGTAGTTTGAATATTTTTCCATACCCAAATGTCATGTTGAGATGTAATCCCTAGTATTGAAGTGGGATCTGGTGGGAGGTGTTTAGATCATGGGGGAGCAGATCCTTCATGAATGGTTTGAGCCATTCATTGCTTTGGTGGTAAGTGAACTTTCACTCTGAGTTCACAGGAGATCTGGTTATGGCATCTCCCTCCAACTCTCTGTCTCCCTCTTGTTCCTGCTTTTGCCATGTGACATACCTGCTCCCTCTTTACCTGCTGCCATAATTGTAAGCTTCATGAGGCCTCCCTAGAAACCAAGGAGACTCTAGGCTTCCTGTAAAGCCTATAGAACCATGAACCAAATAAATCTCTTTATAAGTTATGCAGTATCAGGTATTTCTTTACAGCAATGCAAGAATGGCCCAATACACATAGTATGCAAAGTTTAACAATATTGATTCTTCCAATCCATGAACATGGATTATCTTTCTGTGTTTTGTGTTCTGTTTAATTTGTTTCATCAGTTTCATGGTTTTTATCACAGAGACCTTTCACTTCTTTGGTTAAGTTGATTTCCAGATATTTTACCTTATTTGTGGCTTTTGTAAATGAGATTACATTCATGATTTCTCTTTTAGATTTTTTTGTCATTTGCATATAAAAATGCTATTAATTTCTGTGTGTTGATTTTGTATCTTGCAACGTTACTGAATTTGTTTATCAGTTCTATGGTTTTTTTGGTGGAGTCTTTAGGTTTTTCCAAAGATAAGATCATATCATTTGCAATCAAGAATAATTTGACTTGTTTCCAATTTGGATGCCCTTTATTTCTTTCTCTTATTTAACTGCATCAGCTAGGACTCCTATTACTATATGGAAAAACAGTGGTGAGAATGGGTATTCTTGTCATGTTTCAGATCTTAGACATAAGGCTGTCAGTTTTTCTCCATTTGGTTTGATACTAGCTGTAGGTCTGTCATAAATGGCTTTTATTTTGCTGAGGTATGTTCCTTCTTACCTAGGTTTTGGAGAGGAATTTTTTTTTTTTTTTTCAGAAACGAATGCTGAATTTTATCAGATGCATCAACTGAAATGATCATATGGTTTTTGTCCTTCATTCTGTCAATATGATATATCACATTGATTGATTTGCATATGTTACATCATCTTTGCATCACTCCTATAAATCCTGAATGGTCATGATGAATGACCTCTTAATGTGTTGTTGAATTCAGTTTGCTGTTATTTTGTTGAAGACTTTTACATCAATGTTCATCAAGGAGATTGGCTTGTAGTTTTCTTTTTTTTATGTGTCTGTGTCTAGCTTTGGTATCAGGGTAATCCTGGCTTCATAGAATGAGTTTGAATGTATTCCTTCATCCTCTATTTTTTGGAGTAGGTTGAGCAGGATTGGTATTAATTCTTCTTTGCTTAAGCATTTGGCAAAATTCAGCAGTGAAGCCATTGGGTCCCAGGCGTTTTTTTTTTTTTTTTTNTTTTTTTTTTTTTTTCTGCTGAAACACTTTTAATTATTACTTAAGTAGCATTACTTATTATTCTGTTCAGGTTTTAGATTTTTTCATGGTTCAATCTTAGTAGGTTTTAGACTTCTAGGAATATATTCATCTCACATAGGTTTTCCAATTTATTGGTATATAGTTACTCATTGTAGCCTCTAATGATCCTTTGAATTTCTGCAGTATTGGTGCCTAAGTCACAAGTCAAAGTTCTTCTCACTCTTCCCCATCCCACAAACAGGTTATGGAAGAGTGGTAGTGGTCTCTCCTCATGATCACTACTACCCCAGGCCCATGACAAGCACTGCCATAATACCAGTGTTCACTCAGGGTCCAACGGCTCTTCAGTCAGCCTCTCGTGAATGCTGCCAGGTCTGGGACTCTCACTTCAGGACAGTGGGCTTGTCTCTGACTCAGGGCACATCCAGGAATATCATCCAAGAGCCAGGGCTTAGAATCGGGGACCCCTGAGAGTCCTCTTGATGTTCTACCTGACTGTGGCCGAGCCTGGTACCTAAACTGCAAGACAAAGTTCCTTTTACTCTTCCTTCTCCTGTTCTCAGGCAGGAGTTTCTCCCTGTAGCTGTCACAGCTGGGAATGTGCTGAGTCATACCTGAAGCCAGCACATCTCAGAGTCTCACTAAAGGCTCATGGGCAACTATTGCCTGAGTACTGCTGCTGATTATTCAAGGCCCAAGGGCTCTTTAGTCAGCTGGTAATTAATTCTGCCCAGGACTGGGTCCTTTTCTTCAAGGCAGTGGGTTCCCTTTGGTTGAAGATATGTCTAGAAATGTTGTCTGGAAGTTAGGGCCTGGAATGGGAACTCAGGGCAGGACTCTGCCTGGTCCTCAGTTCTACTGTGGCTAAGCTGATATCCAAGTTGCAAAAAGTCCCCTTTACTCTCCCCTCTCCTCTCCTCAAGCAGAAGAAAGGAGCTCTTTCTGAGCTGGGAGCTGTGCCTGCCTGGGTTTGGGGAAGGGGTGGCACAGGCACTCTCTTGGCCACCCTGTGGCATGCACTAGATTGCATGCCCCCAAGTCCACGGACACCAAGCACTGCACAGCACCAGCACTTACCCAATAATTGCAGTCCCTGTGGGCTAAACTGCTTTTCAAGTTTATTAAGGACCCGAAAGCACTTTAGACCGTGGTGGTCAGGCTTGCCAGAACTTAAGTCTGACCACTGGGATGGGTGATTCCCCTTTGGCTGGGGTTGGTCTAAATGCTCCCTCCATATGTGGGCACTGGCTGAGCTCTGCTTGGTGTTGCTTTCTGCTGTGACAGGACAGCACTGAGTTTGTTCCAATGCAAAGTCCCACAATCACTGCACTCTCCTTCCTGCAAGTGCACATATTCTCTCTTTCTTGGTGCCATGCAGCTCTTGCTGTGGAATGGGGGAGGGGCAGCGTTGATGATTCAAGACTGTTTTTCCTACCCTTTTCAGTGCTTTTTCAGTGATCTGAAATGAAAAGCAGGTATTAGGATTGCTCATATGATTTTTAGTTCTTATGAAGGTGCTTTTTTGTGTGGAAATTTGTTCAGGTTGGTGTTCCTGCAGAAAGAACAGTTGGTGGAGGCTTCTATTTGGCCATCTTGCTCCAGCTTTCCCACAAAAAATCATTTTAAAATTAAAAATAATGAACTCAGATATGAGTTTAATTAGTACTCCAGGTGTTTCTAAAACTGTACTTCACTTACAGAGCCTATTTTGAATGGATGCTTTTATTCTAGGGATCCTGAAGGCAAAGGTGAACATCAAACCTTGGTTCCTTCCAGTAAAAAACATTTGGGGACCATGGCTATATAGGAGCATTAAGCAGAGAAATGGAATTGTGGACCAGGTAGAAAGATGAGGGCGTGGAAATGATTTTGACACATTGAGAGATGCTAGGTAGTCAGGAGCACTGACTCCACAAGGCATGTCAGGCTCTGGCAATTGTTTGGTTGTCCCATTTGGAAAGAAACTTAATCATTGTAATACGTAGATGTTAAACTGCTTATCTAGAGAGATGAGGCCAAGAATGAAGGAGAAAGATGCTGATTAACAGGCAGAAGAATGCCAAAGTGAAATGGCTATTTCGCTTTTCAAGGACCGCCTTTACCTTCAAGACAACATCCTACAAGTAAATACATAAATTCGCCGATGTTTCTGGGTTTTCAGCCCTTTAACTGTAATATTATTTTTAACAGAATGCTCACCTAGTCATTTCAAGTGCCACTCAGGACGGTGTGTTCTGGCTTCCAGAAGATGTGACGGCCAGGCCGACTGTGATGATGACAGTGATGAGGAAAACTGTGGTATGTATGTGCAATGGTACTTTTCTTGAATGTACAGTAATGACTAGAATAGAATAAGAAACTCTGTTAAAAATGTAAACTATTCACTGATAGTAGGACTAGGATTGAATGCTAATGCCTTTACTTCTTAAATTGTTGAACAGTATGGCGTATATTTTAAGTATTTTTCCTAATTCTTGATTTCCTCTAAATTACACTTCCATATAATCCTGATATGTACAGTACCCTCCCCCTTATCCGTACATATATGTTTCAAGACCCCCAGTGGATGCCTGAAACCATAGATTGTATGGAACTCCATATATGTAGTACTATCCTTTTCCCTACACATATGTACTTAATGATAGAGTTAAATTTATAAATTATGTGCGGTGAGAGATTAACAATAACTAATAATAAAATGGATCAATTATAACAATATATGGAAATAAAAGTAATGTGAATGTTGTTTCTCTCTCTCTCAAATACCTTATTGTACTGTGCCAACCTTTTTGAACCATGCTTAACCAGGGGTAACTGGAACTGTGGAAACTGAAACTGCAGATAGGGGTGGAGGGGGACTCCTATATTTGCAAACACTTAGTAAAAGGAGAAGCAACTCATAAATGTAAGGAATTATTTTTATTATTAAATTATAAGGCAATTGTTATCTGTTCTAAAGCCAAAATAGTAGTTCTTTTGCATACGCTTCCCGTGTTACTAAATAGACATCTAGATACATGAAGACAGAATTCAGACTCCAGCATTCTCAGTTTAATTGGAATTCATTCTTATGTCCTCTCATATATTTTCCATGTTGGCAAAGGATAAAACTCTTCTTGACATTTCTGCCATCGAGTTCCAAAATCACCAATGGAAAAGCCATAAATTCCAATGGTAATTTGAGTGGAGTTCATTCTCATTTTATTTCCGTACAAATCTTTGTACTTGTATTAGGGAACAGATGTCAGACTATGGTCTTTAATACACAGTATTTTAGAGGAAAGCAAAATGATTGAAGATCTATCCACAGAATGGTTTGGTTATGATTATTTAGCATTTCCTGTCTAAGAAGAATCGATACTGTTTCATGAAAACATATATAGCAGTAAAACTTTTGAAATCATTTCATTCTTTTGGCCTTTGAAGTATGAAATATTGCCTTGCTCCATTAAGTGAATTTTCTGTGGTAAACATTGCCCTTCTGGTCTAGACAAAATGTCACAAGCAATCAACTGAAATCCTGTCAGCTCCTATAAATATGGACAAGTGCATCTTCTGGAAAACTCCAGCTGTCAGAATGAGGTACAATGGCTGGGCAATTTTGTTGTGGAGGAATGTACAGTGTTTTGAGAAGCTACTATTGTTTGCTTGTTTGTGTTTTTTTTTTTTTTAAGAAATAAATCAAAACTCATTGAATATCCCTTAATAAGTGATTTATTGAGAATGTATTAGATTTGTTCATTTAACTATGACTTTGATGGGTCATAGTATTTTGAGACGCAATTTAAAATAGATTATCTTAGATGGTTCAAAGAGGTTGCATGATACTTTTTTGGGATGGCTAGACCTAAATTTGCAGTAGGGGACTAAATATTTGAGAAATACAAAAGCTTAGTTAAAAAACACACACACACACACAGCCTTACCAAGACAAAATATTCTAAGTTCTAGAATATATTCTCCAAAAAAGAATCTTTTTTTTTTCCCATTTATTTATTTTATTGCATTTTAGGTTTTGAGGTACATGTGAAGAACATGCAAGATTGTTGCAGAGGCACACACGTGGCAGTGTGATTTGCTGCCTTCCTCCCCATCACCTACATCTGGCATTTCTCCCCTTGCTATCTCTCCCCAGCTCCCCACGCCCCACTGTTACTCCCCTATTTCCCCCCAACTGACCCCAGTGTGTAGTGCTCCCCTCCCTGTGTCCAGGTGCTCTCATTGTTCAACACCCGCCTATGAGTAAGAACATGCAGTGTTTGATCTTCTGCTCTTCTGTCAGTTTGCTGAGAATGATGGTTTCCAGGTTCATCCATGTCTCTACAAAGGACCCAAACTCATCGTTTTTGATGGCTGTATAATATTCCACGGTGTATATGTGCCTCATTTTCCCTATCCAGTCTATCGTCAATGGGCATTTGGGTTGGTTCCAGGTATTTGCTATTGTAAACAGTGCTGCAATGAACATTCGTGTGCACGTGTCCTTATAGTAGAACGATTTGTAATCCTTTGGATATATACCCAGTAATGGGATTGCTGGGTCAAATGGAATTTCTATTTCTAGGTCATTGGGGAATCGCCATACTGTCTTCCACAATGGTTGAACTAATTTACACTCCCACCAACAGTGCAAAAGTGTTCCTATTTCTCCACATCCTCTCCAGCATCTGTTGTCTCCAGATTTTTTAATGATTGCCATTCTAACTGGCATGAGATGGTATCTCAATGTTGTTTTGATTTGCATTTCTCTGATGACCAGTGATGATGTGCATTTTTTCATATGTTTGTTGGCTTCATGTATGTCTTCCATTGTAAAGTATCTTTTCATATCCTTTGCCCACTTTTGAATGGGCTTATTTGTTTTTTTCTTGTAAATCTGATTTAGTTCTTTGTAAATTCTGGATATCAGCCCTTTGTCAGATGGGTAAACGGCAAAAATTTTTCCCCATTCTGTTGGTTGCCGATTCACTCTAATGACTGTTTCTTTTGCTGTGCAGAAGCTGTAGAGTTTTATTAGGTCCCGTTTGTCTATTTTGGCTTTTGTTGTCAATGCTTTTGGTGTTTTGGTCATGAAGTCCTTGCCTACACCTATGTCCTGAATGGTTTGCCTAGACTTTCTTCTAGGGTTTTTATGGTGTTAGGTCTTATGTTTAAGTCTTTAATCCATCTGGAGTTAATTTTAGTGTAAGGTGTCAGGAAGGGGTCCAGTTTCTGCCTTCTGCACATGGCTAGCCAGCTTTCCCAACACCATTTATTGAACAGGGAATCCTTTCCCCATTGCTTGTTTTTGTCTGTTTTGTCAAAGATCAGATGGTTGTAGATATGTTGTGTTGCCTCCAAGACCTCTGTTCTGTTCCATTGGTCTATATCTCTGTTTTGGTACCAGTACCATGCTGTTTTGATTACTGTAGCCTTGTAGTATAGTTTGAAGTCCAGTAGTGTGATGCCTCCCGCTTTGTTCTTTTTGCTTAGAATTGACTTGGCTATGCAGGCTCATTTTTGGTTCCATATAATCAATGTGCAAAAATCACATGCATTCCTATACACCAATAACAGACTTAAATAGAGCCAAATCAAGAACAAACTTCCATTCACAATTGCCACAAAGAGAATAAAATATCTAGGAATACAACTAACAAGGAATGTAAAGGACCTCTTCAAGGAGAACTACAAGCCACTGCTCAACGAAATAAGAGAGGACACAAACAGATGGAGAAACATTCCACGTTCATGGTTAGGAAGAATCAATATCGTGAAAATGGCCATACTGCCCAAAGTAATTTACAGATTCAATGCTATCCCCATCAAGCTACCAATGACCTTCTTCACAGAATCACCTTAAACTTCATATGGATCCAAAAAAGAATCTTAAAGTACTATAGTATTGGTATGGGCTAAACGACCGTAAAATATCAGGTTTCTAGTTAAGTAATTGGTTTTCACCAGTATTTTAACCACACAATTAAAGGCACACCAAAATGATAGAATATATTGTCTAATCTCTATAAAAAATCCAAAATAATCAACAGCACTATTGAGTGCTCTAGATAAAGAAAGTTAAACGTGAGTGAGAAATAATACATTCGGAGTTACATTAATTGCTCCAGCATTACTAATTTATGAGAAGTTTTCCAAAGTGACTCACAATAGAAAACTTCGCATACTTCTTTCCCGTTTGGGACTTATGCATGCATTTGAATGGGCTTGTTCAGTGATGTGGGAGGACACACTACTTCAAATAAAGAAGTCAGGTTGTTGAAGGCTCAACAGAGGACCAATGGGAAGCCACCCATTTCTGTTTCCATTTGCCTCCTTGCTGTTTCTTTCCATTTCTGCATGTGCATAGACACACCACCTGGTAATGCAAGCACCAGTTACAGCGATGCTGAGTTTCACCCCAGGCTTCTTGCCTTTCTGACTTATTCCGTCCATTGTGGTATTAGGTGTTTGAGCTTTGCTCAATAGTTGAACAATTAACTATTCACTGTCATGAATCTGCAGCTCCCTCAGAATTTTTAACAAGATTATTGAGTTTCCCCTCAAAACAATACTTACTTAACCCTGTTATAAAATAAATACTGTGTGAGAAACTAACTTTACTTCTTGTTTCTTTGACACTTTTGTAGCAGAAAAATATGGTAGCCAAAGCATTTAACTTATAAATACACTTTTAAAATATGCGTATTAGAAATTTAGCAATCAATAATATTCGCCTTTAATGTCTCCAGCTCTTGTGGTAGATTTTCGCTGTTGTGGTTGCTTTGATTGTGTAATTGCCAATGTAAACAAGAATTGAAAATGTCAGTAGCAGAAAAGTTTTCAACAAGTTTTGGGATGAATTATGCAAACTTGATATGGGAAGGAAGCCTAAGAGACGGGAATGCTAAGCAGAGTCTGTGCTATGTCAGTACAGAAGTACAGCATTGTCTTGAGGATTGATGGTATGTCAGTAATTGAACATACGTGATATAGATGGAGCTGCCTGTAAAACTAGCAGCTGGATAAATGAGTTTGTTTTCAACATAACATTTTCCAAGCATTGATAGCCATGCAGTGGAGCATGAGGGAAAGACATGGGCAAATAAATGATCAAGAATCACATTAAAGAAAGGAGAGCTAAGGAAAGCAAAGGTATTATATTTTTCAACAAAGGTGTTACATATTTTCTATCACTCTTTATAGACTGCGGAAGTGAGATTAGCTCTCGCTAGGCTTTACCTCCATGATTTGGGTCAGCTATAACAGTAGGTAGTACCTGGGCTGCGATGTAAGCAAGGAGCAAGTCCCATTGGAGCAGTTAAATGAAAATATAGCTACAGCAGGTGCCTTATGTCAACTGTCAAAATAAAATCCTTTATTACCTGAAACATAGAATCAAAATTACTAGTTGATCACTATTCTAAATAAAAGGGTATATGGAGAAAAGATTGACAGCAATACAAATGTCCGAGTGTCATTAAGTGACTTTCTATTTATCTTAAGATGATTAAAAATCACTTCCTCACCTATCTTTGGTCTCCTCTTGATGTTAAATAAAATAAAACCTTTAAATATAACCTGAGCCCATTTCTGAGAGTCAGAATCCCCTTAGGTTGTTTAGAAGATCTGACTCTGATATTTATGGGTTTTACAGCTTGGTTTCAAAGGGTTTCTAGAAGGCATATTTTCTTTTTGGATTCTTTGATAGCATTTCTATGAGATATCTCACATAAGGGCTTAACTGGCTTTCTTAACACTCCAAATACCACCAGTCTCTATGGTTTTGTCTCTCTTTGCTTGGGGAGTAGACCACTCTGCTCTGTAGCTGGCAGAAAAGTGAAAGTAATTATGTCCACAGCTTTGGCATATCCACAAATGTGCTTTCAGGATGAATTTTCAGGACTGATTTCTCATCACTCAGTAAGGTTTAATTTTCCATGTTAAGGGAGAAATTTTCTCCTTCCCTTTAGGTACTTGGTTAACTGTTTCATTGTCTTCTGTGGTGTCTTGGGAAGGCAGACTGAAATGGCAGAGTGTTCTGTGTAGACTTAGACTTGAATTTACATACTGACTTAGCCTTAGAGGCTATGTGACTTTTGGCCAGTCACTTTACTTCTCTGGGTAAGATGCAGAGAATACTCACATTATCTCCCACAGCTTGGAGTGCTTATAACATGCCCTGTTCATCCTCAGAAGACAATAACCAAGAACTCACCTGCTGTGGTGGTAGGAAATCAGGAAGTGATTCCTTTCAAAAGCTGCCCCAGCAATCTCCCTTGAGGGAAGGAGTCCTGTCTAGCTTAGCCTTGTTTCTGACAGCTCTTTACGGCAAGTGAGAGTGGGCTGGCCTGTCAGGCTAACGCTTGGGCCTGGGCAAGGCCCATGGCTCACATAGTAAACTCAGGTAAACGGGTGGTGTCTTTTCCTGGAGATAGTGTTGGTTTTGGGTTGGATGTTCTCTGTTTCTAGGATTAGAGCCATGAAGTTTAAAGTCCCATCCATTTCTTCATCCTGTCTGTTTCACAGGAGAATGGGACACCATATATTGAAGAGCATGCCATAAAAATGGCACTGCTAAAAGCGGGAGGTGACTCAGGAATTGGGTAGGCTGCTGAGACTTTCCAGCTGGATGGTGGCTGGATAACCTGTGGTGGTATTGCTCCCCTGATAGTCAGGCCTGGACCACAGTGGGAGGCAGGTCCTCTGTTCCACCTGCTACGGCAGGTGCAGAGGCAGAGCTTTTTGCTGCCATGCTTTGAGGGAAGAGGCTCTGTTGCCCAGGATCCTGCATGCTGTAGAAGGCTCTTCACACCTGCTAGGCCTGTACTCTGGCTGCTACAGCTCCTATGAACTCCTCTAAGTCACATCCACAGCCACTTCCTGGGGTAGACACTGGTCCAGGGTGGCTAGATCCAGACTGTTCGAGCCTTTGCCAGCTCAAGAATGTAGCATTACTTTCTCTCATTCCTCCTTGTGAACGGCTCCCCTCCAAAGGGTGAGAATTTAAAAATTTCATGTAGCTCAACTCAAAAGGATGAGTGGATCTCCTTTATAGCTGCATAGCTAAGAGATTCTTACAGAAGAAAAAAACACCTGCTTTACAGCAATTTTCTGACATTATTTATAATAACAACTGTTTTTGTAGAGAAACAAGATATTCCATTTTAGGGTGGGGAGCCTGCCTCTGGCAGGACAGCCTGTTTCGTAGAGTTTTTGTGAAAATGAGAGACAGAGTAAGCAAAAAACCCAGATGAATGCTTAGCACACTTACTGTGACCAGTCAACCTGATTTGCCTGGGACTGATGGAGGTCTTTTGGAACAAGGGACACTGTGCTCAAATCAGTTAAGTCCCAGGCAAACTGGGATGAATTGGTTACTTTTTTGGAACACTATGTCCTCAATCAGTGGGTGTTGCTATTGTTCTGTGCAGGGGAGGTTATTCTTCTGACATCAACAATTATTTGATTTCATAACCTACAGCTGCATTAAACAGCCCATCCCATCCATGCCTGCTTTTAATTTTTGATGGAATCATAGCTTTTTCCTCTTAGCATATACAAACATAAGTGCACCAAAATGTCACTTTACAAACAAAGCGGTTTCTTTTCAAAATAATACTGTCTCCCGTGTGACTAATGTCTCTCTGTTTTTATACTACTTCTTTTGTGCTCACTGTAACTCTACAAAGGCGGTACTATGCTATGCAGACTTTTACAAGAAAAGAGAAGACATGGAGGGGTAAAAACTGAATGCTTATGGAGTACTCATTTAATGTTTATAGCAACCCTGTGAAGCAGGCATTATGATTCATATTTTAGATGTATATTTGGAACTAGGATTCAGATCCAGTTGTCTGACTCTAAAGCTGTGCTTCCACTGCATCTACCTCTTATGCATGCCGCATGATCGCATTTTGCAAAGGACCGCAATTAAAGACTCGTACCTGAATCCCATCCAGATCTTTCTCCGTGGAGCTGTGACATGGAAGGATTTAATTTCTCTTAACGTTAGTTTCCTCACTTATAAAATGGTGAGTGTAACACTGACATTACAGTGTTAAGACTTAAAGCTAGTGTCTAGAATGTAGATACATAGTGGATAATACACTATCTCATTATCATCATTATTATTATTTGTGAGGATGCACTTTAAAGGGCCTTCTGACCCAGATGATCTATTTCTGTGATATTTCATCATCTCATAGCAAATGTCTTAAGTTCTTCCTTGTACTCTTAGGAAGAATGTGCCTTGTGAATAGTCAGAAAAACTCATGCTGTTTTCTTTCATTCTGTATTATCAAGTGGTATGTTTTGTGACAGAGAAGCAGCCCTGGAGAAGGGCTGACACCGTGCATGGAATGTTGAGCCCTCTTACTTGATGTCTTTTGCTCTCTGGTAGAATGAGCAGACTGTATGTACTATTTGTCTTCACAGAGGGCAGACTTCAGCCTCTTTCTCAAATCTCAAGAGACTCTTATTGTCAGAACTTTTCAGATGCTGTCTGGATCCTCTCCTAGCTGAAAACTCTAGATGATGTCCCTGTGAGTTCTTGGAATGGGTGTCCCTGGGCCTAAGACCACTCCAGATTATCAGCCAGTGAAAGACTCTCACTATTTATTTCCTGTATATTTGGATGATGAAACACACTAAATCTAATTTTAGCTTGTTGTAAAAATTTTAGGTCACTTATTTTAAACGTTGTTTTCAATGAAAGTTTTGAAAACCAATTTTTTTCTTATAATGGATTCCAAGAAACCTGAATCAATCATCTACAAAATTTATCTGATTTATTTGTAGTAGGTCAGATGAAAAATAACATTCTTTAAGAAACTTCTTATTTGATCACTGCTTTGCGTTTCACTGACCTTAAAATAAATTATCTTTTCCTGAAAGCGAGAGACATTTAGTTCCTTCTGTGAAATGAAGTTCTTAAAACACGCACACGTTGAGGGCCTGCCACATGCTAGCCTTTATTCTCAGCAAGGGGGTGGAAGGTACTCCGAGTTGTTTGCCATGTAGTCTCTTCCTTCATGTACTTCACAGCCTGGCCAGGACCAGACCAACAAAACATGTTACAATGACCGGAGTGACAAACACATATTAGACCCTTGCCAGACTTTAGCAGGCGTATGAAATACACTGCACATGAATTGTTAAAGGCATTTATTAAAGACATCACAAGTGCTTGCTATTTCATAGGCAAATTATAGTTTGTTATTACATTAACGTTGTGCAAATTATATTTATATCTCATATTAATTGATGAAGTTTCCAACTTTAGGTCTCTGACTACCATAAAGTAATAATAGCTTTTGAACCTATGCCAAATACCTGCAAAACTTGTTTTGCAGGTATTTGGCATAGAAGGAGCCTCTTTTGCTAAACAAACAGATGGCCTTTTGATTTGTTGAATGAAATTACATTTTAAGGTGATATGCATATAGATCACTAGACTTTGGCGTATTTGCTTAAAAGCATAACATTATTTTATAGATAAGTCTTATGCATTGACACCAATTTGACTCAGAAAGAAAAAGGAACAGCTAAAGATGAATGTTAATGTATGCCTGCTTTTAAATTTAAATTTTTTCTCCNTTTTGAGACAGAGTCTTGTTCTGTCAGCCAGGCTGGAGTGCAGTATGATCTCAGCTCACTGCAACCTCTGCCTCCCAAGTTCAAGTGATTCTTCTGACTTAGCCTCCCAAGTAGCTGGGATTACAGGCATGCACCACCACCCCTGGCTAATTTTTATATTTTTTTAGTAGAGATGGGATTCATTATCTTAGCCTGGTCTTGAACTGCTGAGCTCAAGTGATCTGCCCACCTCGGCCTTCCAAAGTGCTGAGATTATAGGCTCGAGCCACTGCACCTGGCCCCATATGTCACTTTTGATATTCTGTTAGGAGAACTGTACAATTCATATCACAATATGAATATGATTGTGTATTTCTACTTTCAAAATTATATTATTCATGGTATGTAGGGGTCAAAACTTTTTTAGAAAAAGACATCATGCCTTTATAGTGTAATTTTTCTACATTATCAAATTCATCATTATTTTTAACTCCACATCTATTACGAATAAGCTTTTCTTCTGCCTCTAGGTTGTAAAGAGAGAGATCTTTGGGAATGTCCATCCAATAAACAATGTTTGAAGCATACAGTGATCTGCGATGGGTTCCCAGACTGCCCTGATAACACGGATGAAAAAAACTGCTGTAAGTGCTTATGTGAATTTGTCAATACAGTGTTTTATTTTAAATACCAGTTAAGTTTATTTTGAATACAAGCTAAAAAATGTGCAAATATGCATAAATATCTTTTAGTTTTTTCACATCTTTTGATCAAACTCCACTTTTAAAGACATGTTCTAAGAAGACAACTAAATATGTGTAAAATATATACACTATAATATTCTACTGGCATTATTTATAATGTGGGAAAATTAAAATACCCCCAAATATCCAAAAATAGGGAACATAAACCACAACTATAAAATAAAATAATGTAAATATTAATATCAAATTAGAGAAGAAAAATTTCCCTTGGATTCATTATTATATCATTAGTCGAGTAAAACAAAATATTCAGTGTTATGTGCACTATTGTCCTGAGTTTTGAAAGTACATATATCCACACATAGAAAAAGATCATAAAGTCATAATTAAAAGTTTACAGTTATAATCTTTGGGTGGTGGAATTATTAAAGTTTTGTGCCATTCTATCTTCTCTACATTTTCTAAATGAATGGCCATTGCTTTTAGAACCAGAAAGCAATTATATCTCTTAAGATGTTTTACCTACAAATAACATAAAAGCCCAAATCAAAATGACAAACAATGAAAACATTTATCTTTTATTATCATATGCATATCACATGTTTTATATTATCATATAAAGAGTCAAGTGTAGGATGGACTCTTGAGGCTGTATGTGGGAGTTCAGCACCTTGTCTGTGGGTTTTTCAGCTCAGTTTCATCTCAGGCTGGCTCCCACAATGCTGAAAAGATGGCATTGCCAGGGGCATCTGGGGCACCATGCTTCGTTGATCATGTCCAGCTGGAAGGAGGAAGAACCGTGCCCTCATCTCCAAGATATCATTACGGGATTCGCTCAGGTCAACTTTGGGCAGAGTCACAGCTAGCTGTCAGGAGCCTTTGTGTAGTTAGAAAAGACACTTCCTACAAACAGCTGAACTGCAAAAAGAAGCACCACGCCGGGAGAACCAATCAAAAAAAGATGCTGCTTTCTCAAGGTTGTTCCTGCCCCAGACTAGGTACATGGCATAGCAGCAGAGTTTGGGTAGGAGCTGTCTTGTGAAGCACAACCCACGCAACTGTAGGCCGAGGCCCTGATCTCGGAGCACGTTTACTCCCAGACAACTAACTATATTCAGAAAAAAAAAAAAAAAGCAACTGTAGACAGAAAAATGCCATGCCCAGCTTAAACTAATCAGGATCTTCCTTTGGAGCTGGGAATGGCTGGTGTCGGGGCCTGAACAAAATTGAGCTACCTTGAAAAAAGGAGGAAGAAAGGAAATGGTTGTTAAGTAGGCAATCAAGGAGGTTTACTATAATTTTTAAAACCCAAAAGCGAACTGTATTTGACTCAGAGAGTCATTTAATAATAGACATGAAAAAGAAACCTGCTATGCATCTCTGTGGACAGAGACTATTTTCTTTCTAAGGTGACTTCAGTCTGTTCATCCCTCATGCTCTGCTCATGCAGATTTTAACCCTGTTCTCTGACCTTTCATATATCTGCTGCTGTGAGTACTATTTATTCAGTCTGATTGTTAGATCAGAACATTGAGCCACTTTAATGTAGTAATTCTGTTTAAGTGCTCTTTGTATGTATTGATGTCTATTAAATAATATTTTACAAATTCTGTTATTCTGTTTTCATGCCCATTGGGAGGCCTCAACGATCACATATTTTCTTCTTTCCATGCTCCTACTGGCACATGAAGATATGCATGTTAGTGATAGTCACATTTATTTCCAAAATGTTTTCCTTCTCACTTTTTGTTCCCCATACCAGCATTTTGCCAGGATGATGAGCTAGAATGTGCTAACCATGCGTGTGTGTCACGTGACCTGTGGTGTGACGGCGAAGCCGACTGTTCAGACAGTTCAGATGAATGGGACTGTGGTGAGCTACTTGTTCTGCCATTTGTTATACTCTCTCACGCCTATCAGCCACTGAAACTAAATGAATCCTAAATTACTTCTCAGATTTTACTAAACAACTTCATCTATTTTGTTTTACTGTTATAAAAGCTGATGGTGATATACGTATGTTATTTCCAACTCACAGAAAATTTCCCCAACAAGTTACTTCTCTGTTTGAAATATCTATATTATATGGTTCAAATTGTTGTAATCTCATAATTAATTGCTGGAATAGGATTTTTAAAATCTTCATTAAAACCCACCTTCAATAAATTAACAATATTCTGCCATTCATTTGTCATCTATACCTGCTAGAATAGAATAGTCAAGTGGCCCCTCTGCCTTCCCTACACTCTGCAAGTCTGAATGGAACTTCTATCTAGTTCCTTACACAGACAGGAATTAAAGATGTCTCCTACCAGCACCTCCAATGTTGCAGTTTGTGATCTTGAGTTTGATTAGTTTCCTCATCCTACACTCATCATTCCTTTCATTTACTCAGCTCCTCTTCTGTCCTTTGCATTATCCGGCCAAATCATGATTCTCATGTGTGCTGTGATCAACTGTGCAATGTTTCGTAAGTGCTCTGAGGCTGATTAAGTACAGAGGATGCTCCTTTATATAATAGGAATTAACACATATGCCAGATTAATTCTAAATTTGCATTCCTCTCACGCACTTGCAGTCTCATATGCTTTCTTGAAGGAAATGATAGAAATGGATTTACAACTCGCTTCTTGTAATTATGCAAATCCTGGTAAAACTCATGGAATGAGGCCTGCTTCTGGCTGTCTTCTAACTCACTAAGAAAAGTTAAGAACTGCCTGTTTCTTTCATTAGAGTCTAGGCTTCTTTGAGGGGAGAGAATATTTCTAATCCATTTTTCTTAGCCCTCTAGCACACTGAAGGTAGGGATTTGCATAGGGTAGGCACACACCAAATGGTTAACTAAAATAAATAAAAATGAATGTATGCCAATGAAGCAGAGACATGTAAAATTATGTGCTTTCATCGGAGGAAATGTTTTTAATTAGAGTTTCCCCTGTCTTTTCTTTCCCTAGTGACCCTCTCTAAAAATGTGAACTCCTCTTCCTTTCTGATGGTTCACAGAGCTGCCACAGAACACCACGTGTGTGCAGATGGCTGGCAGGAGGCATTGAGTCAGCTGGCCTGCAAGCAGATGGGTTTAGGGTAAGGTCAGTAGTTTGTAGCACTAATGAATTTCTCAGACAGCTTCGTGGAACTTGGCAGTAATATATTCCTTATGGATGCATAGTGAGTTAGTGCTCTCGAACAAAGAGTCCTTCAAAGCCGGGGAAATGAATCAGGTGAGAGGACCATATTTAATTACAGGCACCTGCCCTGAAGAGTGTGAGTTGGAAATGTACTCTGATGAAGCCTCTAAAAGTAAATGAAGTAATTGTTTTAAGTACCTCTGAAAGTAAATGCCTTCATTATTTATAAAAGCATTACGATCATTTCCTTTAAGGAATCTGGATGGAAAAATCTTGCAATTTCCCCCCAAGAGATTATTGAAAATTTCTTTTTAAGCAACACACATTTTTAAATAAGTTGAGAAATTGAACTTGAAGTTGCTGGTATTTCTATTTACTCTAAGTCAGTAAATGTAAATCAAGAAATAGTTCAATGTATTTGCTTCTTAGTAGAATGAAAAGATTCACTCTGGCTTTGATACAAATACACTGAAATGGATTTGTATCCAACTTTGTGTCCAACTTTGAAAGTTGGACACTTGCAATTTTGTGAGATTTTCCTTTTTCAGTTCCATTGGGGATGGAAAGGAATAATTTTCAGGGTCTTAAAATATGTAAGTATTTCCTTTACCATCGATGTATTTGAGATTTAGGGGACATGTAGAAATTAGAGAAATTGAAAACAAAGGAGTTCTAAAATTCCAGAATAAATAAAAAATTGAGTAAATGCTATTTCCTAGCATTCACTGAACAAGCTTGAAAGTATTTTACAATAACGAGTCAATTATGGGAAAGCACATTTTTGTTATCCTAATTTAAAGAATTATTAATATATAGCTCCTAGCATCTTGAACCCATTTCTCCCACGTAAAGACCCACATCTTTAGGAAATCGAGTAACTGATGCTTATCTATAATAAAGGAACTTTAAACTTTGCCAGAGTGCAAAAATTGTATTTTCCAAGATCTATTAAATTATGTTTCATTTTCACAACTTCCTTATTATGTCTAAATGAAATAGGATATGATTGTGATCAGAGATAAATGAAAAATCTTTTGGATGTGGTTATTTTTATCTTTCTTCTCGATAACATCTTATTGGCATAAGGTTGGAACTGCAAAGATTTTACAGCCAGAAAGATTTTACAACTACCCCAGAAAGTTCTTCCGACAATCCACCCTGGACATAGTTGTTCCATTAGAAAGGATTCTGTTTTGAAATATGCTTCTTTATGTTTCCTCTAAATATTTGCATATTGGGGTGTTTATTGTGTTAAAATACACATACATAAAATTCACCATTTAACCATTTAAAATGTATAAAATTTAGTGGCATTTACTTTATTCACAATGTTGTACAAACATCACCACTATTTGTTTTAGAACACTCTTATTATCCCAAAAGGAAACTATATACTCATTAGGCAGTTACTCTCCATTTCCTCCTACATACAGGCCCAGGTAACCACTGATCTGCTTTCTGCCTCTATTATTTGGCCTATTCTAGATATTTCAGTATAAATGGAAATATACAACATGTGGCCTTTTCATCTGATTTCTTTTACTTAGCACATTTTCAGTCATCTGTCTTGTAGCATGTACCAGTACTTCCTTCCTGCTTGTGACTGAATAATATGCCATTAAAGGGATATACATTTTGTTTATCCATTCAGACATTTGAATTATTCTCATCTTTGGCTATTGTGTGCACACTGGATTTTTAAAAAAATTATGTATTCCATTTGCTCCACTTTCTCAACATAGTTGGAAAAATGAAACTTCAATATATAGATATCTTTAGATGTATAAAATGCAAGTAGACATAGATATTTTTTATTTTAGATTACTTTATTTCACAGAAGGGCTAGAAAAATATGAGATATATGTGTGGTTGGAAAACTATATCCATTATTTGACTGAATTAATGGGAAAAATGGGCAAACAATGATAAGTTCTTCAAAAAAATGAGAACTAGTATATTTTTGAAATTTTTGCTTGCCTTTAAGTTTACTCTTCAGTTGACTTGAGTGGCTCATGAATTGACAGAAATCTGGAGAGCCAGGCTACACCAGGAATGACAGTAATGGTCAAGATGAGGCTAGCTTCTTGCTGAGGGAACGGGCTCAGGAAGCTGCCATGTGACCACTGTCTCTGGAGACCATCCACTGTGCTGCAAATTCACAATTTTGCCACCAATGTCTCCAATAAACTCTAAGTCAACCTGTACCTTTGAGTCATTTCCTCCAGATCAAAGCCCTTGCTGGATGGGTCTGTTTAGCCATGAGGGAAGTGGGAGAGAATTGGGAATGACTGTTCCCTCTTAGCTTCTGGAGTAGAGGTTATGCCAGCCTGCCTTTGTACGTTCAGACATATTCTGCATCAAAAACTTGAAGTTTAAAAAGCAGCTCCCAACTAATTCCACTCAGTATTCCCCTTCCCTTTTTGTTTTTTGAGTATCTGCTTATGGGCCTTGTACTGGACAAGGCATTGTGTAGAGGATACAAAAGTGAATATTGTTATCAGAGTTTATAATGGAGTGGAAAAGACATGTGGGTAAACAGCCAAGAACACAAAGTTAGAAAAAAGTCCAGATATTTTACTATCTGAGAATGGTGTGGAATTATTGCATAGAACCTGGCATTTCTATTAAAAATATACAAGAAAAACATCAAACTTTAATCTTATCTTGATAGGATAAATTTGTTATATCATTCATTCATTCACCCATTCATTCAGTAAACATTTATAGAGAATGGTATTGTGGTGCATGTAGGGTCCAGAACCAGCGTACCCTAATTCCATGTGGATCATTCATCTCCTTGAGGAGGTATACTTTGGAGGTAATTTATCAAAAATGCAGGTCTATATCAAATTTCATGTGTTGCAGGGATTCTACTGAAATGCTTTCGTGATAGCGGCATTTGATCTAAAACACGTGCACTTAGGAGTTTTCAGACAAAATTTACGCCTTCCATGTCCTACTGCTCAAATGCTAGGCTCTCAACTCAGTGCTTATCTAGATGAGAAGATTTAGAGTTCTTTGTTGAATTTTAAAAACTTATTGACTTCATCTGTTAGTATCTCAAAGGCTCAGCCCAGATTGGAAGTATGATGGCTATCTGATTAGAAAAATGTGTAAATCAAGCCCCTAAATTCTTGTGACAGCTGTATTAGTCCATTTTCATGCTACCGATGAAGATATACCTGAGACTAGGAAGAAAAAGAGGTTTAATGGACTTACAGTTCCACATAGCTGGGGAGGCCTCACAATCATGGTGGAAGGCAAGGAGGAGCAAGTCATATTTAATGTGGATGATAGCTTGCACACAAAAAGAGAGCTTGTGTGGGGAAACTCCCACTTTTAAAACCATCAGCTCTTGTGAGATTCACTGAGAACAGCACAGGAAAGACCTGCCCCCATCATGGAATCACCTCCCATTGGGTTCCTCCCATGATATGTGGGAATTGTGGGAGTTACAATTCAAGATGAGATTTGGATGGAGACACAGCCAAACCATATCATTTTGCCCCTGGCCCCTACCAAATCTCATGTCTTCACATTCAAAACCAGTAATACCTTCCTAGCAGTCCCCCAAACTCTTAACTAATTTCAGCATTAAATCAAAAGTCCACAGTCCAATATCTCATCTAAGACAAGGCAAGTCCCTTCCACCCATGAGCCTGTAAAAATCAAAAGCAAGTTAATTTCATAGATACAATGGGGATACAGGCATTGGGTAAATATAGCCATTTCAAATGGGAAAGATTGGCTAAAACAAAGGGGCTTACAGGCCCCATGCCAATCTGAAATCCAGCAGGGTAGTCAAACCTTAAAATTCTAAAATGATCTCCTTTGACTCCATGTCTTGCATCCAGATCATGCTGATGAAAAGGGTGGGTTCCCATGGTCTTGGGCAGCTTCACCCCTGTGGCTTTGCAGGGTTCAGCCTCCCTCTTGACTGCTTCCATGGGCTGGCGTTGAGTGTCTGAGGCTTTTCCAGGCACACAGTGCAAACTGTCAGTGGATCTACCATTTTGGGATCTTGAGGACTATGTCCCTCTTCTTACTGCTCCACTAGGGGTTGCCCTAGTAGGGATTTTGTATGGGGACTCTGACCCCACATTTCCCTTACACATTACCTAGCAGAGGTTCTCCAGAGGGCCCCACCCCAGCAGCAAACTTCTGCCTGGGTATCCTGGCCTTTCTATACATTCTCTGAAATCCAGGCAGAGGTTCCCAAACCCTGATTCTTGACTTCTGTGCACTTGCAGGTTCAACACCATGTGGAAGCTGCCAAGGCTTGGGGCTTCCACCCTCTGAAGCAATAGCCTGAGCTGTACCTTGTGGCCCCTTTTAGTCATGGCTGGTGCAGCTGGGACACAGGGCACAAAGTCCCTAGGCTACACATAACAAAAAGACCCTAGTCCCAGCCCATGAAACCACATTTTCCGCCTAGGCCTCTGGGTCTATGACGGGAGGGGCTGCCATGAAGACCTCTGACATGCCCTGGATACATTTCCCCTTTGTCTTGGGGATTAACATCCTGCTCCTCATTACTTTTGCAAATTCTACAGCCAGCTTCAATTTCTCCTCAGTAAATGGGATTTTCTTTTTTATCACATTGTCAGGCTGCAAATTTTCCCAAATTTTATGCTCTACTTCCCTTATAAAATTGAATGCATTTAAAATAACCCAAGCCATCTCTTGAATGCTTTGATGCTTAGAAATTTCTTCTACCAGATACCGTAAATCATCTCTATCAAGTTCAAAGTTCCACAAATCTCTTTGGCAGGGGCACAATACCACCACTCTCTTTGGCAAAACATAACTTGAGTCACCTTTGCCCCGGTTCCCAACAAGTTCCTCTTTTCCTTCTGAGACCACCTCAGCCTGGACTTTATTGTCCATATCACTATCAGCATTTTGGTCAAAGCCATTCAGCTAGTTTCTAGGGAGTTCCAAAATGTCCTACATTTT